TCATGCGGTGTCCTGCCCCGGCGCTCCGTGCCTCGGCGTGCCTGGGCTGGAAGGTTCCACGGCTGCAGGACCCCTGGGAGCCTGGTGCTGAACCCTGTTCTGCTCTATCCAGCTGCCTGGCTTTGAGCAAATGACATCAGTCAAACGCAGCGTTTAAAGTAAATGTACATGCCAAGGAATGTTGGCCCCAAATTCCACTTTTGTCTCTCCGATGTTCACCTTGGGAGAGCAGGAGATGATTTTGGCCACATAATTCTCAGGTCCAGATCCTAGTGATGGTGCTGGGCCAGCGGTGCTCAAACTCGAACATGTGTGGGAATCCGCTGGAGGGCTGGGAAGACAGCGGTCAGGCCCCACTCCCAGCGTTTCTGACTCAGCAGGTCTGGGCGGGGGCCAAGACTCTGCGTCTCTAACAGGTTCCCGGGTGGCAGGATGCTGCTGGCCCAGAGACCACACGTTGAGGACCACTGGTCTAGGCTCTGAGGCACCAGGCGATGTAGGTCAACGAAAGGGTTAGTAATGTTTTAAAGGGTAAAGGTAAAAGTTTGCAAAAGGTGGAAATTGTGTTGCTTGCATGACATTTGCTCAGCCTTTTGTTGAGTACGGATAAGGATTATCTGGATCATCTGCAAGGCAACGGATAACCCAGCAGATGCTGGAGGAGACACCAGACCAGTCCTACTGCAAAGTGGACAGTGGGCCAAAGTACATCAGCAGGAACTGCCGGAAGGTAAAAGCAGGGTATATAACTGACACCCCAACCCTGATTCGAGGCTGAATTCTTCTCGGCTCAGCCCGCCTGCACCCAGGCGCAGGCAATAAAGCCATTTCACTGTACATTGACCTCGTGTTGTGGACGTGATCTCCCGCCGGCTCCGACCTTTCAGTCAACACTAGTGCTTGAGCAATTCATAAACTGGCTTCAGGGGCATTCTTACCCGCCCCTCCCCCACCCCTGAGAAGTGGTTATTACATCCCATTCACAGATGAGCAGACGGAGGTTTGCTGTACCACACAGAGCAAGTGCAGGCTCCAACACTGCTGGCCCGGCCTGCACGCCTCGTTTGAGCCCAGGGTTCCTGGTAAGGACGACAAGCTCGCCAGGATCTAGCCCCTGCCTTCTCCTCCAGTTTCCCCGGAATAAAGCTGTTCCTTCTCGTGTCTCTGCATGATGGTTGCTTGGCACTAACTAGGCACTTGGACACGTACATTGAGCGGAGAAGCCCTGTGCTGCAGCCGAACCGGGCTCTTCCTCCCTCGTTCATGTCTGGCTTGCCCTTCCTTTCCCTTCTCATCCATTTACTTCCTAGTTTTCTTTTTTTTCCCATTTATCATCAGAGTGGGAGGGAGGGAGGGAGGGAGGGAGAGAGGGAGAGAGAGAAACAGCAAAGTGAGAGAGACGCATCGACTGGTTGCCTCCCACACGACCCCCACCAGGGCTGGGGATGAACTGCAACAGAGGTGCGTGCCCTTGACCAGAACTGAATCCGAGACTCTCTGGTTTGCAGGCCGATGCTCTAACTGCCGAGCCAACCCGGCCAGGGCTCTTATTCCTTTTTTTGAAGGCAGCCCAAGTGCACATCCTCCACAATGTTCATTCATCCAATAGATACTGGCTGCCTCCACGTGCCAGGAAAGGTACCAGACGCCAGTGGCGAACGTGGTGGAATCGGTGCGAATTAGATGCTCCTCCACAACCAGGACCTACGTTTATGGTAGAGCTTATCCCATGGGCTGTAATCGCCTGGTTTGAGGTCAGTTCCCCCAGCAGACTACAGACATACTTTGTGAGCAGAGAATATAGCTTATTCATTTTTTTCTTTTCTCTAATTTTTATTATTTTTGTTACAGAGGTTTCTCCTCCCCCCCCCCCCCGACCCCCTTCCTCCCCTAGCGTTGTTGTCTATGTCCATTGGTTATGCATACGTGCATATAAGTTCTTGGGTTCATCTCATCTCTCACCCCTGCCCCCTACTCTGAGGTTTGTCACTCTGAACTGTACTCCTTTCTATGTCTCTGGGTCTATTTCGTTCATCAGCCCGCCTTGAGAACATAGCTTACTCATTTCAGTGGTTTGCACAGCGACTGCAAATTACTATTTGAGAAATGAAGCCCAAGAAGTTATTGATGCATTTTTGTCATATTTCACTTGTCTTGTTTACCCTGACTTTATAGCTATTTCTGACTTTCCCCAGTATTTATTTTTATGTACATATCTAAAATGAAATGAGGATATGGCTACTGAAAATAACTGCAGTTTCAAAAATATCAACCCATTTTGCAGGTGATTCACCCTCTTCAAGAGTTTATTCATTCTGCCCTGGCCGGTTTGGCTCAGCGGTTAGAGCGTCAGCCTGCGGTCCAGAGAGACCCGGGTTCGGTTCCCGCTAAGGGCACGTACTTCGGTTGCAGTTTGTCCCCGGCCCTGGTTGGTCGTGCGGGTGGCAGCCACTCGATGTGTCCCTTCACGTCGATGTTTCTCTCTCTCCCTTCCTCTCTCTCCCTCCCACTCTATCTGTACAAAAAATGGAAAAATGTCCTTGGGTGAGGATTAAAAAAAAAAAAAAAAAAAAAGAGTTTATGCATTCTGGCCCTGGCCGGTTTGGCTCAGCGGTTGGAGCACCGGCCTGTGGACCAGAGAGTCCTGGGTTCAGTTCCTGCTAGGGGCACGTACCAAAAAAAAAAAAAAAGTTTATGGATTCTGTAATTCTTCAACTATTACCTTAAAAAGGTGCCAAGTTGCCCTGGCCAGTTGGGCTCAGCAGTTAGAGCGTTGACCTTTGGACCAGAGTCGTGGGTTTGATTCCCGGCCAAGGGCACCGTATCTCAGCTGCAGGTTCGATCCCCATCCCTGGTTGGGTCATGTAGGAGGCAACCAATTGATGTGTCTCTTATCACATGAATGTCCCCCCCCCCCCCATGGAAAAATATCCTCGGGTGAAGATTTAAAAAAAAAAAGGCACCAAATGTACTTTCAAGAGCCTCCTTAGCTTCCTCACCTTCCCAGAAGAAAGTTCTGAGTGAGAAGCAAACTACACTGTGCAGATGCCTACCCTTCTTTTCCGTTCCTTTCGATGTCGGCTTCAGATACGACTCGACTCCGCCAGGCCGTCGTGCCTCCCCTGACTGGCCATGTGCTGACTCTCTTCTTACTGAAATCCAGAACAGCCAAGCCGAGCTGGCCAGCACTGCGGAACCTTCACAAACTCTCCGGGTGACGCCCTTCAAGCGCCGATTTCCTCAACTTCCCCTCTCGGTCCACATCCCTCCTTCACCAGGGCAGACACATGGGCCATCCTCCCCGTCTCAGGCGCGGACTCCGCAGAGCCAGGACGCAGGGGCACTGTCAGCGTCACCTGCAGGGCACCATTGTCTCAAACTGGCCCCAGATGACATTGTTGCTGCTCTTTGGACAGGTTAACTCCTTTTCCTTCCACTTGTGTGCTGGTAGGCTACACACACCTGCTCTGCTACTGTGCACAGGCCTGTCCTGAGAGATGAGGGGCAAGGCACAGCTACCTGGTAGACTTACGATCAAATAGGATTTGGCACTTAGAAGCAAGCTTAATGTTCAGTTCGAGGTGGCCCTGGGTGCTGGGAGGCTGGTCGCTGAGGAAGTGGGACAGTAATCTTTATCTTTTCCCCTGAAAACAACCAATAGTAAAAGTGAATCCAGGCGTATCTTCAGGAGCACGTGTTTTAGAGTCAGGTCTAACACTGTGCTCATTTTCTGTCAAGGTCTCTAAACCGGCCCTTTCAGATTCCCTGGTGCGTGGATGGGGCTGCAGTAGACCCTGCACATTCAGTGGCTTAGAAACAAAGGCCTTAACTGCTCTCTCGTCGCAGGCAAAGCTGAATGTGGAAGGCTCTACAGAGGCCTTTGGGGAGCCAGTTTCTTGCCTGCATGGCTGGGCAAAGGCCCTTCTTCTCTGGGTTCCAGCTCGGGGGGAGAGAAAGTGAAGGGGACCCATAACGGCGTGCACCTCTCCAAGGTCCATCCCTTGGTGAGGACCAGTCACCTGGCCACATGGAACAGCAAGACAGAACGTCGTCCTCGGCTAGACAGCCTGGGGCCAGCTACAGCTCTTATGTTTGTATGGACAACTAGCGTCTCTAGAAAAGAGCATTTTCTTATTTCTTTGTACTTTATAGAAGCACTTGAAACCACGATAAAATTATCTTATTTCAAATAAGCAAATTCAATAGGAAAAACAAATCAGATTTACATAAAAATAGTAAAGAACTAGATTTATTTCAGGACTGAAATAAGCCGAGATCACTCGGTCATTAGCTGTATCTCCAGCACATGAGCTCGCTGATGTTTGCTATGGGTCTCCCCAAGGACAGCGTGACTTTGTCCACTGCCCACCCCAGCATGCAAAATAGTTCCTGACACTGTTCAAGTGTAAATAAAGCTGAGACATATCAAAATGTAGCGATTTAATTATTGCGTGAATGTGAGCCCTCTCTCCGAGTCTCCGAGAAGGCAGATGTCTGAGGATCTGGGTATTTCGAGTTCTTCCGTGGACACGTGTAGAGCACGAAGTCTCCGTGTCAGCCAATACAAAGTCCCGAGAAAACAGTGACCAGCTCCTGAATGACCCTTCGTGTTTACACCCCAACTCCAAAGGACAGCCTGGAAGAGTCTGACCACGATGTGCCTGAGATTATTTCTAAAACCAAAGGACTGTGTTGAACTCGACTCCCAGATGTGAAAAGCATATTGTGTGACATTCAAAACATCTGTAAAATGCAGGTATCTTCATCTGCTGACAGACAGTAAATGGCCCAGCCCTTTTTTTTTTTTTTTACGAAAGAATCAGTTTGTCACCATTAAGACCAAAAGAATAATTCAAATTAGATAGTCCTGTCACTTGTAAATTAGAAATAAATTCTTACAGAATGGAACATTCACCCCACCAAATATAACAGCAAACATCAAAATAAATTCATTGACCTTTTTTAAAAAGATTACAAAATTGAATTTATTGAGTTTCACACATGATGCACTTATAAAATTAGGACTGACTGCCATCTGGACAGAAGAAATGAACATGGTTCGAACTCCCGGCACGGTCTGCAGAGGGATGAAACCCTGCGAATCAACAGCTGGCAACGGTGACTCAGGTTGGACTGAAGATATGCCCGCAGCACATTCTTGCTCTGAATGGGGCTGTGTTTGGCAAAGTTTCCCCAAAACTACTCCTAGTCACCATGGACACTGTTCCTTTTGGTGGAGAAGCTGAAAAACAAAATTCTACAATGGGGCTTCATGAAAACACACACAGAACGACGATGGTCTCCCACAAGCTTCGGTCCAGTTTCCTCTTAGCTCCGTGCACGTTAATCTTCAGATCTCTTCAGTTAGCGTACACACATTCACGTCTGCGTGTCCAGCGAAAGGCCACGCATCCCAGCTAGCTCTGTTTCACCCAGGAAACAGGCACACCCCTGAACTTTACCTCCGCACAGTACGTGGCGGAAACGTAGTAGCGCCCCGCTTCCCACGGGAGCGTCCCAGGGGAGAACCGTTAGTGACGCCTGGGCACTGCGAAACTGGAGGCTGAAACATTTTTATGACGACGCAGGAAGGCCTCTCGAGGTCACGTGCTGGAAACAGCCTGTCCTGTGGCGCAGCCGCAGACTACTACGTGGGCAGAAACGGAATCCTGACCTCACACAAAACCAAAAAGCACCTGGACAGAAACACCTGCCAGCGCCCGACCGCCACCCACACGCCCGGCTGACGTGCCCCTCCCCAGCGAAGGCGGGGACAGTCACAGCTCCTCGCAGACACCCCGCCGAACACAGGGGGCGCGGGCACACCCTCACACCCAAACAGACCGGTGCACTTCACAGCCCAGGCAAGACGGAGCTGCTCACCCTACTTACTTCAAAACTGTCACTTAAAAACTCAGTTATGGTCGACACCAAGTTTTGTACAATTCTTCAGCCTATTCAACACCAAAGCCTTTTAACTGTAACCACTGATGAAGCAATTAGTTTTAAAGCAAAACCAGTCGACTATACATTAAAATGACCACTGCTCTTTTTCGGTATGAAAAGTTCCTTTTTGTAAGGTAATTTGTCTCATCCACTGCAATTAAACAATACATGGCTCACATTCTGCTTTAAAGAATAAACTGAAAACTTATAAAACATTTTCTCAGGAATGCATAACCTTCATTAGTGAGTATTTTTTAAATAGATGAACTGGCTTAGGGCTTCTGTTTCCTATAAAATGCTACTATTCATCATGTCTTATTTAAGGTAGCCTTTTATTCTGATTAATTCAGATACATCTTCAAGGATGATTCTGTGGTGAGAATGATCTTGACTTGAATTCAATTACTATTTTTAAATGCTTTGGCAGAAGGAGCAGAGCGTGGAAACGGTCTGTGGACCTAGTGGGAGACACGGCAGGTAAGTCACGGTGGAGACCCCAGCTTCCCGGGCACACGCCCTTGCACTGCAGACCCGAGGCCAACCCGCCGCCTGGAAGCACGGACGGACAGAGCGGAGGTGGTTCTGAGGTTGTTGCCGTCGGGCAGGAAGCAGCTGCGGCCTCCCGGAGCAGGAGGAACTACCTGAAGTCAGGGCTGGGGGTCACTGCTGTCCCGTGACCTGATCGTGACCAGACCACGTTACTGGAAGAAAGAGATTACAATTTGCTTTCCGTTAATAATTTAAGTTTTTAAATAAATATTTAAGTGCCGCATTTCGCATCTGTCCGCCCTGGGGGCAGAACGTGGCTGCCCAGGGCTCGCGTCCAGCACGCGGGGCTGCAGGACTCAGTCGATCCGGTTTCCACAAATTGTGAACCTGTCTATGTCCAACAAGTCTTTCTTCGAGGACCTGTGCTTCAGTTCTGAGTTCTCCTGGGGCATGTCCTTCTCATCACCATCTGGAGTTGTCAGAAACTGATCGGAATTGCTTGTCACAAGTAATGGTGTGACGTTTTCCTTTTGATGGCTAGGCTGGCTGGTGACTGCGGCAGACAGGTTTTCTTCTGTGGGAAAACAGATCCTTTACTTAGAATAGGACTTTCTCCACACTACAATAAAGATGAGCTTACCAACAGTGGTACTGAAAAAGCATAAAGGATAACCAAACAGCACGTTGTGAAAGCAGCCATCATTTTTAGTGCAACTCAAAGGCCATGCTATTTGCTAACCCAGAATTTTATAGAGGGGCTGCCATCTTTTGCTTCTTTTAAAACACGATGAACACCAAGCTGTCTTGAGAGTCGGTCCCACCGTGTGTCCTTTAATGGGCCTGAGCTGCCTGACTCGCAATGCTCTCTGCCTGAATGCTCTCTGGCCTCTGCTCTCCTGACCCCGACGGCTACACAGACAACTCACCGGAGTGGCTCCTTGCACACAGCCCTGGACCCGGCAGCCCTGACCTGCGATCTGTGCCTGAGGGCTCATCCCCTCATTGGTTGGGAGGCTCCTTAAGGCAAGACTAACGCTCATTTCTAATGAGCTGAAGGAGCCTAGCGTAACAGGGCACTTACGCCCCACCATGAATCATCAAGTTAGTTGAAGCAAATGCAATCCCATGACTAACAGTACTTACATGCTTTTTATAAAAAAAAAGTTACTTCAAGTGATGCTACCACTTTTCACCCCACTCCATACTAGCTGCCTGCGATGCACTCGCCATGGCCTCTGGCCAGCTCACGTCTCATCTCCCTCTACCTGGCTTCACCCGGCCTTTTTCTTCTTCTCACCCATCAAGATTTAGTTTGGGCCTCACCACCTCCAGGAAAGAACCCCTTCCTGTCCCCTCCCCAGCATCAGTCCAGCCCGGCCACCCTGGCCTTTGATGTCCCTCCACATGCCAAGGCCTCTGCCCGACAGAAGCGGAGTCTCCCCGGGCTGGGCAGTGTCCACGTGCCCCAAGCCTGCTCCGCTTTCTCTGCAGCACCGACCTGCTACCGCCTGGCAGTGCGCTTGCCTTCTCCCCTCTGCCTGGCACTCTGGGTGAGCTCTGCTTCTCCTCCCACCGTGGACCCCGAGTAACAGGTGCTCGCCCATCACCTACTGAACCACCAATGAACGTACAAACTCAGAGCCCGCATGAGGTGTGTCTGTGATGAGGTCTAAACAGAAACATTAACAGTAACAGCTAAGCAAAGTGAACTTAAACCTCGAAAGCTCTGCTCAACGTTGACAGAGTAGTGATTTCTTTTACCCGGGAGAGTGCAGGCAAACAGCTCTCCTGAAGATGATGCAGAGCAGTGATGACAAGAACCCGGCTTACCTTGGGAGGGTTTGCATTTGCTCTGTGATTTACTGGGCGGTTTGCTGGGAGTGCTGGTGGGTGGAGGGTTAAACAACTTCTCTTCCATTTTGGCTTCCTTCACATATTGGCATGATTTTCCCAACAGCACAATGCTATTCAGTACTTTCAGAGATATCAACCTAAATCCAGAAAGAGACAAACGACCACTGTTGGAATTCATCTCAATCACTGCAAATGCCACCCACTACCATGGTGAACAGAGAACCCAGGAGTCAGAGGGCCTGAGTCTGAGAAATTCCCACACTGAGATCCTAAAGCAAAACCCGGGTTTCCTGAGACTTCTTTATCATGGGAAATCTATAATAATTTCCTTACTTCTCTCTGTAAGAAGAAACCATACCATTCAAAAGTTATACCTTCTAACTATTTAACATTTACTTTTTTCCTATTATCACTTAGAAATTTTATCTTCCAAATTATTTAACATTTGTTGTCTTATTAAAAACAAATACACAGTAGTAAATGCAGATGAACAAAACTATACACAAAGTGGCTCCTAACTCCTCACTGGAGCCCTAATCCCTGACCTCCGCCGCTGCACCACCTGTCAGCAGTGCTGATGCGAATCCATGGATTTGTCCTTTCCTGTTCAGAATGGGCTGGCGGGGCAGGAGGGGCTGGGGGCTGCAGTCAGAACACACACCCTGGGCCCAGTGTTGGGGTTTGCGCCCCGACTGCACTACGAACGCTGTGTGGCCCGAGCTGCCCCACCCGTCGACCCAGAGGACATGACTTTGGTCAGGGCCCACAGTAGTGCCAGGCACAGCACTGTCAGCCGCTCTTGTCATGACCACTGCTTTACATAAACAATATATGAGGAATATTTTTCCCTATCAGTTAATGCTTCTCAGGGACATTATTTTAATGGCCTTACCGTGCTGTATGGGTTATCATATAACAAAGCCCTTAGTTTCATAATATTTAGATTATTTTGAATATTTTTATTCTACTAAAAAGTTTCTGATTAAGAAAATTTATTTTAAATCTATATTTCCTTAAAATAAATTTCTAGACAGCTATGATTATAGAAGTCAGATTTCTAGACCAAAGGTACATAACATTTTCAGGTATCTGACACAAATCTGGCAAAAAGTTCTGACCAAAAAAACCAAAACCCTTCCCACCGGAACCTTGGACGGCAGCACCAAGGCCCTCACCGCTGTCTGCAGAGTGGGGAGCGGCTGCTGCTGACGTCCGGGATGACCCTGGCACTGGGGGCGGGGCTGGCAGGAGGTCCCTGTGGCCTCTACAACGGGAGGAACACACACCCACCCCGCAGGCCTCACACAGCCCCCGGCCCTGCTGCGAACACACCTCCCAGTCGGCCCCACCGGGCTCGGAGTCCTCACTCACCTTCCTGCTCCCTCGGCACTGCCTCGGCTGTCCGACAGGATTCCGGACCTGCTACATCCAAACCAGAACTCCTTCCAGCCCTAACCCTCCAAATCACAACAAAACTAACCCCAGGGACCTACATGCGCACAGGCTTCCCCATCACAGTGAGTGGCAATTCCACTGCCCTACATGCTCGGCTCCACACTGGCACACACCTGCTTCTCGCTCCCTCGTGCCGCACGTCCCATCGGTTCATCTGCGAGTCCTGTCCAGCTCCACTTTCAAAATATACCCCTAGCTAACAAATTCTCACCAGTCCAATTCCGGTCGCCACCTGCCCCGCAAGGACAGGAACGACTCCGGACCCAGACGGCCTTTTGCTCCTCCTCTCGCCACTGCAGTCCACCGTGCACAGCAGCCCGCGGGCCCGGCAAGAAGCCACGGGGACCCAGCTCTCTTCTGCGCAGAGACCCCCACTCTCCGTCCCAGAGTGCAGCCCGGGCCCTTCTCAGGCTGCAGGTCCCGTCCTGCGCTCCCCGCTGCAGTGCTCCAGCTGCTCCTCACATCAGGCTAGTCCTGTGCCTCTCTGAGCCTGCTCCGCTCTCGGGCATCTGCGCGGCTTTCCCCGTGCTCCATGCATGTCCGCACCGAAGCAGCAGCTCAGAGAGGCCCGCTGCTGCTCCCTCCAGGGCCGCCGGCTCCCTCTCCGCCCGACACTACCATGTTTCCTCCTGATGCTTGCTACCAACGCTCCCTTTATACGATTTGTCTTTCTGGTTGTTGCCCACTTTCCCACTGGAACTTCAGGGACATGAAGGCGGGTACTGTGTTTTCTCGGTGGGTCCCGAGACCAGGGCTGGGAGCAGCCTGGCACGGAGCAGGTAGGCCTGTGAGGGCAGGGCCGCCCCCACAGCTCAGGGAGAATGGTCTGCAGGGAGGGAATGGCGGTGGGGGAGAAGCACAGCGTTGGGTCAGGAGGCCCAACTGAGTTCTGACTGTCCGTGCTGAGGGAGATTCCCGGGCTTGCGGGGCTGAGGAGCAGACAGGTGGCTTTGAGGACGTTTCTGGAGGCGGAGGATAATCTGGGCATCGCCCTCAAGCAAGGAGAATGAAAATAAGTCAAAAGAACGGAACGGCCAGAGAGCAGATGTGACTAGCTGGATGACAGAGGGGGCGACGTGGTGAGATGTTGAGGGAGGTGCCCGGGGAGGGGTGGGGGAGGCTGTGAACTGCACAGAGGTCTCTGGCGGAGCACAGGCGCCTGGACGTGTCTGTCACCAGGCGCGAGGATGGCGGCACTGTGACATCCCGGGGAGCAAGGCGCCAGGCCCGCACTCCGGGCAGTGTGAGAGTGTGCAGCAGAAAGGATCTTGCATTTTTTAATGCCAAATGATGGAAGCGTTACCTTACCCTAGTAAGCAACTATGTGTCCAGTGAGCTGGAGAACAGTGAATCACCCTTGCTTCGCTATCACTGAAGTCAGCCACATGGCCTGGACAGCACGGGAGGGGCTGGGAAGCACATTCCTGACTCATGGCGCTCCAGGGACAATGACGAGTGACTGGTCCCGTGCTCCTGTGGCAGGAGCTTCTGAGTGCTTGCGTGTGCCAGGCACCAGGCAGAGAGCCATGCAGGAAACTAGGAGCCCCACCGATGTCTCTGGAAAGCAGACCTCAGGCAGGGGAGGATCCCGAGTGGATCTGCGGCTGGGGTGCCACTGTCCTGTGCGCTCTGCAGAGGACCTCCGTCTGACCGCCCACAGCCCCACACGCGGAGCCAGACTGCTCGTGCGTGTGCGGCAGTGCACAAGGTCCCTATTCTTCCTCCCAGTCAGACTACAGCTGGGCGGGGGCTGCTTTATCACAAATTCACTTCCACAGAAAACTAACAACTGCAGAAACATCACTTTATATTGTTATTTTCTTACCATTTCTCTTCCCCAACCAGAGTGTAAGCTACACAAGACCAACAAATTTGCAAATAAAAACTCAGCCAATCACAGGCAGACTGATGACCTTTCTGCAGCTTCTTTAGGTTCCCACGACATGGGCTGGAGCATGCTAACCAGTAACATAGCACACAACAGAAATTCAGAGGTTTTGTACACAGAGAAATGTCTGAATGCAATGGCAGATTTTACTTTATAACGGAAAATATGGGTAAAACTTAACTCCTAAGCATAAAGAGCTTTACGTCAATGATTTCACTAAATTTCGAAAATAAAATCTAAAGTGCTATTAATACTACTGGCAAGCGATGTGAATGAGTCACAAACACATCTGGAGGTACACACTGTTATGGGAGCCCCAGGACAGTTAGAATGGGTGGAGTATGACTTGATTACATCTTGCATTTATACTTTACTGTATAACCAAAAACATATTTAAGAATAGTTCATCTTACCCAAAATAGAAGAGTATGACACAGGCATAAGACAGGATTCCTTGCACTTTAATTGAGCTTGTTACAACTCTGATGAGCTAGCCAAAACAGACCAAAACAACAAAAACACAAACAAAACACACAACCAGAGTTATTAGTTCATATTTAAACAGTCACCTCTTTGACTCTACACTCTGGGCACACACCTGTGGCCTGTCTAGAGCTGTCCATTCATAGTGAATCGTGGCAGCTTGGAAAGCCTTTTGTGGCAGATTTGGGTGGTTCAGGCAAATCTAGGATGCCCGTGGCTACGTTCAACTGCTCAGATACTGTGCCTAGTTCATAAATGACACGTTTGATTAATCCTGATAGAGGTGCAAATCCACTGATTTTTAAAATGGAAAACTATTCTGGAAAATACAAACGGACTCATCATGCCGCTGTGTCCCTGCCAGAGCCAGAACATTCAGTGGGCGTTTCTGTTCTTCCGGCTTTGTCCTTTGTTCTTTGACTCTTTTTAAGAACCCTTGGTGACTCCCAGGGATCAGAGAGAAAGGGGAACCTTAAGAGATTTGTAGTGCTTAAAAAAACTAAATACTATTATAAAATTAATTACGTAAAGAATGAAAATGTGTCTCTTTTGGATAGTTGTGGTTAAATGTCTATTTTCTTTTTTATCTCAGAGAAATATGGCAATACAATCTTCATGCTCAGAAGCCTCTGAATGGACGGTGGTATCTGTCCCGGGAAAACACGTAAATATCATAGCTTTATCTAAAAATGTGCCCACAAACACACCTCGGTTGCAGGTTTGATCCATGGCCGCAGTGGGGGTCGTATGGGAGGCAACCAATCGATGTGTCTCTCTTACATCGATGTGTCTTTCTCTCTCCCCGTTCCTCCCTTCCGCTTTCTCTAAAAATCAGTGGGAAAATATTGTCAGGTGAAGATTAACAAAAACAAAAATAAAAAATATATAAAAATGTGCCCACATACAGATATCCCCATCTTCAAAGGTTGCTTTATATCACTGTGCTTTTACAAAAGACCTACTCTGGTACCTGTTTTTGCTAACCCAAAGAAATCCAAAGGTGATTTTCGCTTTTACTATAAAAGGCAAAGACTGTTCAGCATTTGATTTGCATGGAGCTGAGACAGATGTAGCGCTCACCCCAGCAGCAAGAGTGGCCCTGCCAGGCTCCTTCAAGGGACCACACTCAGCACCATCAGCATCAGGCCCGCTGGCTGTGAACTGTGTCTGGGAGCATCTCCCTGCACTGTGAGCATCTGTCATCATGTGTCCTTGGGTAGCAGAAAAGCCTAAGACAGCTTGGAAGGGTGTTTACATTAAGCGTAAAGCTGGACGTACTTAAGCATTTTGATCATGGTGAACAACATAAAGGCATGTAAATTCATGTCAACTGTGTCTTCGATGTGTGCCATTTTGGCTTACGAGAGGTTTCACAGAGACGCTCTACATTCAGGTGGGGAACTGCATTAGGGCCGGGGGACTGCTATACGGAAATGGAAAGTCAGGGAAATGACTGAACTTATCTAGTAATGTTAAGTTACTATCAAGTAAAAAGTTTATTAGGGTATCTTAAATAAACATCATAAGATACATTTTAAATAATATCTTTAAAATGCTGTCAATAAAAGAACTGGGAGGAACTAGAGGGGATGGATCATCATGTGTTCAATTAGGTTCAGTATGAGGAAACTGATACAGAAGTCCTCATCATTTCCTCTCCCAGGGAAACGGCCCTTGTACAAACAGCTGTGATGGCAGTTACTGTGTCTAGGACTTACTTTATATAAAAGGTTTGCCAACGATCACATTCACGGCTTAAATGACTTCATTTTTATCTAGTATATTATCAGGTACTTTAAGATACCATGTGTTCAAAGCCTCGTCTCCATGAGACCTTACCACATGATTTCTTTTACTTTTTTGGGTGTGAATTCGTTTCAGGACCTAAGGTAACATTTAGAAGTAAGCACTGCCTCTCTCGGGCCTTAATTAAAGGCCTGACCCCCGAGGCTCAGCACCCCCTCCAAGCTCTTCAGTGACCGCCAGAGCTACGGTGTCACTCTGGGGGTCTGAGAGAAGCCTGCAAAAACCCACTCACTAGCTCACTACACAGTCACCTGTGAAAATACTGGTTTTTCAGAAGTGTTTTTTAATTATTAATTAAGCTCAAAGCTTTTGGTGTAACAACCATAAAAACTCATTAAACACAAAAAAATATTTAAAAACTAAATTAAAAAACCCACACTAATCATGAATAGAGTTTTCTAAGAAATGATTTACTAGACAGTTACTATTTAGCAAAGCAGGGCCCCATTCAAATACAGTCCTCTAGGCTGTCCTTTTAAACAACCAGTCAGGCCATCCAGCTTTCTCCTCACGCTGTGCGAACCAGCTTTCGAGTTGTAGAAGCCATATGTAAAAAAATTTAATATTCTATTTTGTCAACCTTTTAAACATTTAACAAATAATTATTTTAGTCTCCATTTTCCCAAAATTCTAGGCATTCCTTTTCCCAAGCAAAAATAAGCTATATTATTAGATAATAAACTACTAAGATACTTGAAAACATTTAGGATGCGATTATCTGGACAGGTGCACTGAAATCTGAATAACATTATTAATCACCAACCCTCTAAAAACACCGGGCGAGCTGGTCTACAACACAAGTGGTGTGAGCCAGTGTCTTTCTCCTCCTAGGCGATGCCGTGGACGGCATGAACGAGAACTCCAGGTGACCTCTGGCAAAGAGACGGCTGCGCGTGTCTGAGGTGCGAACAGGTAGCCACATGGAATAGAACCAAGTACAAGGGCAGCCAGCCAGGCTTCGCAACGAACATTATTAGAGCATGACGTGGCCAGTGACTATTTACAAGGCTGTTCTGAGCAATTCATTAAGATATAAACTTCATGACTTTTTTTAGTGGATTTAGTAAATTTCAGTGCTATTATTTTAAAATACATATAATTACTGAATATAAGACTAGAAAGTTTCATTATAAACCCTTTGGAAAATGAATATAGACTATTTCTTCATTTAAGCATGTCATAATTCGACCTACTTCATTTGTTTCAGATTTTACTATAAACGTCACTATAATATATAACTTTGCCTATAAATCGTCATGTGCCTTTTACAGCCACTTCCTCACAATAAATTCCTAGAACTGGAATTACTCCATAAAACTGCCACACTGCCCTGTACAAATGCTGGACCAACTTCCACTTCCACCAGCATGTGTTACACTGGCCAAGCCCACGCCCACCACCATTTCCATTAAAAAAAACCCTCTCCCAAATGAATAAGCAGAAGAGAGTATTCTCACTGCTGGAAAAGCCATTAGTAAAAACAGTTCCTGATATCACTTCTCTATGGGATGGCTCAAACTCCAAAAGGATAACCCAATTTCCTCCCACATCATGTACCTTTCATTTCTATATCAAGTCCTTTTGAAACAAAGTTATTGATAATCCACTAACATTCAGTAATCATGGGCATTGTATCATTTAAAAAAGCAGAAGGTACAGACTTACTAAGACGGCTAGTGGGAGAGGGATGAAGCCCATCCTCCGAGCCACGGAGTCGCTGTAGTCAGTGTACGCCTGGCAGAGAGAGGGGAGAGGGTCACGGCATCTGCACCACCGCGAGGTGCTCAGCTCTCATCATCAGCTTTCTGAACAGGCGAGGTTATGACGAGCACCCAGCACCTACTATGTAATCTAGCAAACTGATGTGGAAATCTAAATGTTCATAAATTTTAAATACAAAATTGCATAACTGTTACAAAGTGGCAAAAATCATCTTATTTTAGTATTAGTATTATTGTTATTAATCTGTAAAAACTTAGTATCAAGAACAGAAAGAAGTAAGAAGTTTAAGTTCATGTAGTTTTCCCTTAACTGATACTTTGGCTAAATTAAATCACTGCCAGGTAATTTCCGATTCTGTCTTTGATAGAATACTCACATTTTTCTGTCGACTGCTAACAAGGTCAAAAGCAAGGCTGGCTCTATATTCACTGTAGACCTGAAGACAAATAAGAATGCAATATATTAAGTAATACAGTGCAAATATATAATGTGGAAAGACTTATACTTTGTAGAGAAATATGTCTAATAATTAACCAGAAAAAAGGTCTTAATAGCCAAGCAGACATCTGGGTAGTGTTTCTCTAATTGTTTTCTTACAACAAGAGTAAAACAACCTCAGTTCCCCTAACTGTTATGTTCATAAGCCTTTTAAAGGTTTCTCTTCAAAGAGGGATAAATACTAGTCCTGGCTGGGTTGCTCAGTGGGTTGGAGCATCATCCCATACACCACAAGTTGATCCCTAGTTGGGACACACACGGGAGACAATGGATCAATGTTTCTCTTTCTCTTACATTGATGTTTGTCCCTTCCTCTCTCTAAAATTCAATGAAAAAACATATCCTCGGGGAGGATGTAAAAAAAAAAAAAAAAAGCCATGCCCTGGCCAGTTTGGCTCAGCGGTTAGAGCGTCGACCTGCGGTCCGGAGAGACCCGGGTTCGGTTCCCGCTAAGGGCACGTACTTCGGTTGCAGTTTGTCCCCGGCCCTGGTTGGTCGTGCGGGTGGCAGCCACTCGATGTGTCCCTTCACGTCGATGTTTCTCTCTCTCTCCTTCCTCTCTCTCCCTCCCACTCTATCTGTACAATAAAATGGAAAAATATCCTCGGGTGAGGATAAAAAAAAAAAAAAAAAAAAAAAAGCCAAACTTAAATACGCATTACAGTCCTGAGAGCTTAGAATCTGGGAAGTACTGGCTAGTTTAAGTAGTATAATATATATGATATTTGGAAATTTTAAATTCAATAAACAGTTTTAAAGTAATTATTACTTTATATCTAATAATAATAATGGCTTCTTAGAAAATAGATACTGAGCAAGATAATTGAGTTTTTAAAGTCCAATGTTTTAAATAAAAACAATGTGATTTTTAAAAGTTTAAGTAGATGATAATATTAACAGTTTATGATGACTTTGAGTTAATGACATTCTGACTTCAACTACTAGTCAACCTATACCTCCAAAGTGTGGAACCAGAATTGTTTAATACTAATTTTTAGAAATTTAAAATTATAATTCTAGCTTTAAAGTAGTAGTACTTCTATTATCTTCATAAATGCAATAAATCTAAACTTGTTATTATACAACTTTGTAACATTAAGTAGAAGTCAACATCAAACACTAAATTGCTTATGAAAACACATACATCTGCAGTAATGTCATTGAACTTGGTGATAAAGGCATGCTTCACAATATCCACTGCAATTTCTGATGCAATCACCATACAGACATCTGGAAATAACACCCAAAGATGATCTATAAAGTATAGAAAAAAAAGAGACAGATTACTTATTATAAATATAATCCACACTATTAGAGGCTACCACAGAAATCTGAAATTCACCGGGCAAAACTGTAATATTTTCAATAAATGATAACAGACAGAATTAACATTCAATAAATTATCAAAGGGGCCACATTTTAACAAGTTAAGGGATAATTCATTCAGATATTTAGTCTGTATTCCCTCTGTGCCAAGCACAGCTCGAGGGATCACACGGCAGGAGCAGAGCCTCTGCCTCCCTCCCTGGAGCCGACATGGGACCCCAATGGGGTAATAGGCAAGCTCCGCCAACTCTCTCCTTCCACGGCTGCCTCAGTGGGACAGTCAACAGCTAGTAGGCACATGTGCTGAGGGCGACTGAACAATCCTCTCTTCGATCACTGTGACTTAAAGACATAGCTCAGTCACTTATCTCGCTGTCATAGAGACATGATTTATCAAATGTGCTCACCTTCACATTTATTAAAATGTCAATTTAGTATGAAGTACCTGATAAAAAACACAAAAAGACACACTCCTAAGACTTTAAAGGATATAAGAATGGGACAGAGCAAGAAGAAAACTATGCTGAGGAGGACCTATGGCGATTCAGAACCTGGGCAGCTGGGGGTGGGTGCAGACAATATGACGGGCAGTGTAGCACAGTTTTAGTGAGTCTGACATCATGCTGAGGTTGGGGGAATCAGGGACCTGATTTTATGGTTTCTACAAGAAAATAACTTCTGGACATACATTTCCAAGATCAAAAATCTCATTTTATATCTGTTTCTGACTTTCCACAGGTACCTAAAAACTAGCGATGAATCAAAATAAATTAACAAAAAGTTATTATATGCCTATAACATGCATGGTATGCAGGTAATAAATAAAATGCAAAACATGATCTCATTTCTTAAGAACAAAGTTGTACAAAAATGTCAGACATTAGAAAACTCTAAATTGCTTGATACCTGAGCATGTGGATCACTTCCCACCAAACTCACTGCAGCATTACCAGACTATGCTGTAATAACCTGTCTGTTTCCTCTATAAGCTTGAGTCTTAACATATGTTACCACTTGTTACATGTGCCACGTAGCACACACGTAGAGTCTGCCAACTGTGTGGAAGGTGAAAATCCATAGACTCTCGACAACTTGTCAGCCTCAGTTCAGAGATGTATATAAGTAACATTTTATTGCTTTACATTATATTTCTTTATCATTATTCAAAATGCTAATTAATAGGTAATGAATAAGTAAGTAAAAGACAAATGTTAGGAAAGAGCAAAAGTTCTAGTGAACCCCTAAAATGCAAAAAATCCGACTGCCTTTAGATAACCACGGGACACTATAAAAAAAGGGGGGGGGGGCTTGGAAGCTGCAGTGCTCAGCAGGGCCCACCCCCCACTGGGAACACAGCCCTAGACACTGTGTCATTTATGGGACATGATGGCTGAAGACTGTCACACACGCTGCGGCATCCCACCCACCAAATCACTCTACTGAGACAGGTTCTGCTCGTGCCCAGAGTGGAGCAGCTAAAATGCTGTCAAATTTTCTGCAATTCTTATTTTATTCCATGTAAAAGAATGATTTTTGGTTCAAGGATAAAATTAGAAGCCACTGTATTTATTAAAAGTTACTTACCTGGATTCCAAGAAAACTGTTCCATGTTTCTTAGGCACACTATTAGCAAAAGCACATAATTTGTGAATCGTTCTTTGATATCTGAAAAAGATTTCACATATAAATATACAGTGCATACAAATAAAATGATAATACATGTATACATAAAATAATTTTCTTTTAGTCAGAACATAGAATTATTATATATGTGTGTCTGTAAAATAAATATACTACTTTATATACAGAATCTGCTACAATGGTAAGCCATTTACTTCTTTTACCAGCATAATCCTAGCATGGAAATTCCAGTTTTCTACAAATTTCAAAAAATACTCAAACCATCAACCTGCTCAGATTGAGCAAGATTCCTCCAATGGTCTTTGGGTACAACCAACAACTGTTTTCATTTTACAGAAGACAAAAACAGAAGCAGAGAGTACATACAATACAGGCCAGGGTAATGTACAACCCTGCAGGCAGACTATTTCCAATTCAGTCAATAGTAAATGTACAAGTGGTAACCTGATGCTCGATTAGCTAAGTACTTCAGCTAACAGAGTATTAGTTATTATGAAAGCACTTCTTAAGATATGTGTAAAAGTTGAGGGGAAAACAACAAGGTTTCATATTATTTATCATAAGTTACTAAATACTCTCATCTTAGACTGAGTAAATTTAATAAAAGCAAATAACTAAGTTCCTGCTAAAAGCTAGTTTACACATTTCACTTTGTAAGCTATTTTCTAGTCTAAGATACTGCGTAATGGAGAAATGAAGGCGACCTGTCTGCGGCAAGCCTGGCACTGCATGTGTGAGTGTGTCTATGTAGGTGGGACTGGCCAGTGCAATCGTCAGAGTAACCCACCCAAGGCCTAAGTACACTTACACTGTCCTTTCCCTAATTCTCGTTTCTCAGCAATTCTGGGCCGCAGCCTGCCATTCAAATGTGGGACCCCCTACAGCACGCTGCATTTCAATTTCACATTGAAGTCCTTCCTCGGACGGTCTTGGTTTCTCTTTTATGTCCAACCTCTGCCTGTTACTCTATAGCAAGTGATCTGGACTTTCATTCTACAGCCAAACCTCGGTCTCTAAGTAGGCTGGCATTTTCCATGTGTGCATTCCCTAAATCCCTAAACTCTGGGAGACCAGTCAGGAGGAGTATCGTCTCTTCCAGGGTAGCTCAGCTCTTAGTCCTTATTTGTGAGGGGCCTGAGCTGTCATAATTCCGCTTAGTAGCTTAGTGACCTTGGCTAAGTCAAAGTACTTTCCCTGTGTTCTAGTTTTCACATCTATAAAATGGACTATCATCTGCTACAAAGAAATTTCTGGATTCATGAGAAATTTCTGAAAGTACGGTAAAGTGCTATATAAATGCTTGGATTTTTTTATTATCTTAAACATCCTGAGATGGCAATAACCAAAGCCATAAGCAAACTCAGTAAATGCTGACAGATAAGAGAAAGCGCAGTTAAAGAAATTATAACCCACAGGAAATGTGACATTAGAGTTTTACGATGAACTGCAGAATCATACTGGATAAAGCCGCAAGGAGAATCTAGCTGTACATACCGCTATTTGACATTTGAAAGAGATTGTTCTTTTCAAACTTCTTGAAAACACTCCCTTTAATTTCAACAAACTGAAATAGTAAAAAAAAAAATCCTCATCATTATAACAGTTTTAAAAATGAACACAGGCTATATAAAACTTCCTGAAGAATAAATAACATTTAGAAAAAATTATTTTTCCCATCCAGAATATTGCTGTTAAAGTGCCCATTTAGCTTTAGAAATGTAAAGTCAAAATCTCATACTTACATTATTGGACATCATGATAGTGAGCAGTGACTTGTTGTGTGAATTAAATGCCACATTGAGAGTCGTTGCTTGAACCATTATAAGAATTGCATGCAAAACTAGTAGTAAGTGATGTTAAGGAAAAAAACGTAAGTCTGTTTTCATATTATATTAATACATAAAACTATACAATTTTCGGAATAAACAGGGAAAAAGATGACTATGTTTTCTAAATCAAGTCTTACATAAGTATCTTATTCTCTGTAATTGTTCATTAGTTGACCCAAATCTGACAGGATGAAGATGTGTGCCACCAAAGAAAACAGAAGCAGAATGAGCCTCACGCATCCATCCGCACGGAGGAAGTCCTGGGACACAGCTGTCTTCTTCTTTCTGGTCTCTGGCATCTGGCTCAGTTCTTGTGAAATAGGTCCTTTAAAAAGTGTGTTAAATAAATGGAATACATTATGGTAAATACTGAAAGAAGACATTTAGCAACATACACTCTGAATTAAGATAATTTGCATTCTAAAATAGAAAAACAAACAAAACAAAGCAAAAGTCTGGAAGTGATTTACCTTTCTGGTTCTTCAGGGAATGGGGAACATAAGACAATAAGAATTGTCTAATAATTAAGATTCTTCATCATAAGTTATTTTTGAAGCCATCACACATTGCAAAATTATATCCATTATTACACATGAAAATTTATTTAAATAAGAACAGTAACTTTTATTCCATTATACTTGGAACAAGCTTTTATTCTATAGAAATCTTCCCACTTAGTCTCTTAACTTTCCAAGTGTTAATCCAATTCTTTAAAGTATCACTGTTTCAGAGAGTACAAAAATATCACACGGTACATTTCTGTGAATGAGTTCTGACCCCACATGGAACATGTAATATGCACGTGTATGTAAATACCTAGGAACAGGCGCGCACACACACGCTGTTTATATACAACGAAGCCTTGACTCTGAAAAGGAAATGCTTTAAGATGGGGGTGCAAGGGGAAGAACAAAACCTCCAAAATTCCTCTCAATTTCAAATTTTCTTCTAGATGAGTTGCATACATTTTAAGCCCAGGTTATAATGAAGAATTCACAGGCTTAAAGATAACTTAAAAACATTCCAAGTAAGTACATAAAGTTACACAGACCTATTAAATGTAAAGTATGTATAATACCTTTCCATCAAGTCTTTCCACATAATCAGTTATGCGGAGAGCAAAACTGTTTTTTAGCAGTTCAAAGAAACATGCATACATGAGGCTCTTTAAAATAACCGACATTGACTATTATAACTAATTTCTCAAAAGAAAGCAGACATTCACATTAATGTTCAGGATACACACACACACGCACGCACGCACGCACGAAATCAGAAAAACAGCTACGTCAAAAGGATACAGACATAGAGAACAGCCATGAAAAAGTGAGGAATCACCCCAATGTGGGCTCTTTTTCTTTCTTTGGGCTCTGTTGCTGTCCAATAGAGAGCATCTAATATATCTTGACCAAATGATGAAAACAGACGATCTGCTACCTAAAGAGAAAAGTGATTGAAAAGGTGTTTCTTAATATTCCATTTAAACCTGTTACTACAATTCAGAAGCAACTCAAATACTAGCGATCTGCACTGATACAAAAACGAACAGTTAAAACCCCACTGGAAGGTCAGCTGCAGAAGGGCAAGGCCTGTTCACGAATCCACGGCCGCGTCTCCACGCTGACAGTGATGCTCCAATCCTTGTGCTATTGGAAAGAGGCTCTATTTAGCTATGTTTGTAACAAAACAAAGTCTTATTACATGTTGGCAAAAATAAAAAAGGAGAAGACACATCAATATTACAGTTCCACTGTTTTTAACTCTCTAATTTCAAATTCAGGATTCAAACTAAAAGTCTTTAGAACAAATACATCATTTGACCCATTCTATTCATACTTAATATTTGTAAACAACAAAGCTGTTAATTTGTTTGAGGTTTACTACACAGAATATAATGTGTAGATTTACTTCCTAAAGTCATTTTCAGGTACTGGTCTCCAAACACAGTATGATAAATAAAATGAAGCACATTTTAAAAAAGAGAATGTATCATTCAGGATTCAGCTGAAATGTTACATCCTGAGAGAGGCCTTTCCCAGACTGTGTCTGATCTCAGGCTCCCACAGTCTGTAATGCATCAGCCTGGTCGTTCTCATCACGGCAAGTATCATCTCCCAGCACCTCCTGGTTTACTGTCCCTCTCCCACAGCAGAACACAAGCTCCATGAGCCCGGGCTTTGTTCACTGCTGGATCCTCAGGGTCTAAAGCAGTGCTTGGCATACAGAAAATGTCAATTAAACACTTGCTGAATGAAGGAATAATAGCTACCACTTAGGAGAGTTCTTACCACATGCCTGGCATTGTGCTAAGCCCTTCCTATATAGTATCTTATTTAGTCCTCACAATTACCCTGGTATCTCCAATTTACAGACAAGAAAGTGAGGATTAGAGACATTCAGGAACCAGCAGCATAGGCAGGAAAACCAGGACTGCGGGCAGTTTCTCTGCACCAGAGCCTGGACCTTCCTGTCCACTACGCGTAAACCACACTGTCCTGCTCTGCACCAGAGCCTGGACCTTCCTGTCCACTACGCGTAAACCACACTGTCCTGCTCTGCGCCAGAGCCTGGACCCTTCCTGTCCGCTACGCGTAAACCACACTGTCCTGCTCTGCACCAGAGCCTGGACCCTTCCTGTCCGCTACGCGTAAACCACACTGTCCTGCTCTGCACCAGAGCCTGGCCCCTTCCTGTCCGCTGCGCGTAAACCACACTGTCCTGCTCTGCGCCAGAGCCTGGACCCTTTCTGTCCGCTACGCGTAAACCACACTGTCCTGCTCTGCACCAGAGCCTGGACCTTCCTGTCCACTACGCGTAAACCACACTGTCCTGCTCTGCACCAGAGCCTGGACCCTTTCTGTCCGCTACGCGTAAACCACACTGTCCTGCTCTGCACCAGAGCCTGGACCCTTCCTGTCCACTACGCGTAAACCACACTGTCCTGCTCTGCGCCAGAGCCTGGACCCTTCCTGTCCGCTACGCGTAAACCACACTGTCCTGCTCTGCACCAGAGCCTGGCCCCTTTCTGTCCGCTACGCGTAAACCACACTGTCCTGCTCTGCGCCAGAGCCTGGACCCTTCCTGTCCGCTACGCATAAACCACACTGTCCTGCTCTGCGCCAGAGCCTGGCCCCTTCCTGTCCGCTACGCGTAAACCACACTGTCCTGCTCTGCGCCAGAGCCTGGACCCTTCCTGTCTGCTACGCGTAAACCACACTGTCCTGCTCTGCGCCAGAGCCTGGACCTTCCTGTCCACTACGCGTAAACCACACTGTCCTGCTCTGCACCAGAGCCTGGCCCCTTCCTGTCCGCTACGCGTAAACCACACTGTCCTGCTCTGCACCAGAGCCTGGCCCCTTCCTGTCCGCTGCGCGTAAACCACACTGTCCTGCTCTGCACCAGAGCCTGGACCCTTTCTGTCCGCTACGCGTAAACCACACTGTCCTGCTCTGCGCCAGAGCCTGGACCCTTTCTGTCCGCTACGCGTAAACCACACTGTCCTGCTCTGCACCAGAGCCTGGACCCTTTCTGTCCGCTACGCGTAAACCACACTGTCCTGCTCTGCACCAGAGCCTGGACCCTTCCTGTACACTACGCGTAAACCACACTGTCCTGCTCTGCGCCAGAGCCTGGACCCTTCCTGTCCGCTACGCGTAAACCACACTGTCCTGCTCTGCACCAGAGCCTGGCCCCTTTCTGTCCGCTACGCGTAAACCACACTGTCCTGCTCTGCGCCAGAGCCTGGACCCTTCCTGTCCGCTACGCATAAACCACACTGTCCTGCTCTGCGCCAGAGCCTGGCCCCTTCCTGTCCGCTACGCGTAAACCACACTGTCCTGCTCTGCGCCAGAGCCTGGACCCTTCCTGTCTGCTACGCGTAAACCACACTGTCCTGCTCTGCGCCAGAGCCTGGACCTTCCTGTCCACTACGCGTAAACCACACTGTCCTGCTCTGCACCAGAGCCTGGCCCCTTCCTGTCCGCTACGCGTAAACCACACTGTCCTGCTCTGCACCAGAGCCTGGCCCCTTCCTGTCCGCTGCGCGTAAACCACACTGTCCTGCTCTGCACCAGAGCCTGGACCTTCCTGTCCGCTGCGCATAAACCACACTGTCCTGCTCTGCAGCAGAGCCTGGCCCCTTCCTGTCCGCTGCGCGTAAACCACACTGCCCACTGTAGTCCATGAAGTGAACAGTAGTAAAGCCATCTGGTCAGCAATTCATGGGTCCTTTTTCTTGACCTACTTCATAATAACAGTAACACCACCTGTAGTGGGCTTCATGAACCAGGAGACACACACATCAAGCTGGGGGCAGGCAGAAGCCCTCGTCACCGGCAGGGAAGGGGAGGGAAGCAGTAACGGAGACCAGTGGGGCTACGGCATGAAGAGCCACTCCAACAGGCTTCTGAGAGGAGGAAGGCGTGGCTCCTCTGCCTCACAAAGCTGACCCATCCACCATCTGCATCCTACCCATGGGGCAAAGCAACTCTAAGGCACTGAGCCTAGTCAGGACGGCGGCTTGAAATCATTCGGTCAGTGGATGGAGGACAACCAGATGGCTCGAGTTCCGTGGCTTCTGTGACAAGCTGGGAAGCCCTCCCGCACCACAGCAAGGCAGCCTCAGCACAGAAAGGCCAGCAGCCCCCACTCACCCCATCTGCCCACTCGTTAAGATAACCCCTTCCTGGCTAATTTGAGATAGGCAAACCTTACTTGTGTTCCTAAAAAGCAGTATAGAAAATGCAATTTGGATCTCAAAAATGTATTCTATAACATAGGGTTATTTACCATATTAAAAACTTATTTAAGATTCTGCCTATACATAAAACACTTTTTTTTGCTGTAACTATTTTTTTTATAAATGCAGATTTTCACATGCTGACTGCTCTAAGTTTAAAGTGACATATATTGTATAAAAATGTTAAGTACTTACAGATATTGGGAAAGTTATGTTTACTTGATCTATGTGAAAATTCAAAGAAATTAAAAATGTAATTACAGCAAACATATATATAATCCTAACATTTTCTTTATAATTTTTTAAGTTGTTGCAAAAAGAAGATGCAGGTTTCCATGAATCTGCAAACAAATTTCCCTGTCATATGACAATTCACACTGTCAAGGGGGCAATGACTCAAAAATGTCCAGGCAGCAGGTACCCTTCTTTCTTCCTGAGAACATGTCATGCCCTGACCTACTACCCTGAGTGTCCCAAGACCAGCAGCTCAGATCTCATCTTGTTAGAAAGACAGATTCTCTGGCCTCAGCCCACATGTACTAGGTCAGAACGCGCACTTTCACAAGGCCTCCAGGCGACTGGACGAGCCTGACGGCAGGAAGCAGCCGCACTGGAGCCGCTAGGAACGTCGTCTGTCCTGGAAGACCCTGCAGGAGGGGCTGGACTGGCCAGCGGGTTAACGAGGCCCTTCCTCACCTCGAGCATGTTGTAGATGATGTAGAGCTTGATGACCGACTGTCCCCTGATCAGGTGGTACATCATGGAGTAGTCAACATAGTGCATCATAAAATAGCAGATGACCAGAATGACACCCTTCAAAATGTCACACACCTGGGCCGGCTGCAGCAAACGTCTGTCCCTGCAACATAAGAAAGAATAAAAATACGAGTTTTACTTTCTACCTTCTCGAAATAAAGAATCTTCACTAGACATATACTGGTATTCAATGGTAATGAGAATTAGGTTTATCTTTTAAATACTTCAAACTAACTGGGAATGTTATGTATATAACTGAATATTCAACCATGTGAAATTTTCTGCCCAAGCACAGACGCAAAGATGTTAAGCAAGAATTACTATCAGAAGTGCTAACAAGTGAGCAGAGGGCAGGTGTCTGGGGACAGAGCTCTAAAGCGATGATTTCCAAGACAGTGAATAAGCCTCTGGCCCCACGAGGAAGCCCTGCAGCCTGCTGGGCCAGCTCGTCACACGACCTTCGCGTTCTGTGCACATCGCTCTGTACCTGGTACTTTTGTTCAACAGCACAACAGATTTTCCAGGTCAGTTCATAAGGGACTCATATCTCTACGACAGTGTAACGTTCCATTGTGTGGATGCACCATAATTACCTGACATATCATTGACAGATTTCCAGTCTTTTGCAACTACAAACCATGATACCATGCACATGTCATGCTTCATACATGAAACTATATGTACAGGATAAATTCCCAAAATTGGAATTCCAAGGTGATGTCACGACATCCTGACAGAGGCAGCTGAACTGCCCTGTGCAGGGGCTGCACCGACGTGAACCCCGACCACCAGCAGAAGGAAGCTGCGCCCACGTGCCTCCGCGCGGTGCCCGAGCAGCTCGGGACTTCGCCAACCCCACTGGAGAAAAACGGAACCTAGTGCAGTTTCCACGTGAATTTCCCTCACGGGGAGACTGACATCTTCTTCATGTACTTCAGCTATTTATATCTTCTGTGAATTCCCTCTTTATATCTTTTTCTTACTGGTTTGGAGAAGAGCTTCTCTATTACAAAGTCAGTCCTCTGTAACATGAGTGTAAAACAGCCTTTCCCTAGTTAATATAAGAGAAATCATTCTTTACTTCCGAGGCCAGAGGATGAAGAGCTAAACCTAAATTGTGAGTGGAAACATCTTACTAAGACCCAGAAGAAAATACACGCAAAGAAGTTTAACTCCCGTCCCCGCACGTAAGCCTGTGCGCTGAGTGGAACGCTGGGCTCGTCCTCCGTCCGCCCCCGCGGGCCGACCTCGCGCTGACGCCAGGACCTCAGCGAACTGCCCTCAGTGTTTTCCTCAGCAGCTGCCGCACCCCTTGGTCCCCGAGACAACACTCGGCCCAAGGCAGGGCCCTCGACGCCCTGAGCTGCCTGCTGACAACATTCTGCTTCCGCAGCCTGCTGTCCTCTGCGGCTCAGCCACCTCCCCGTTCAGGTCGGGGCTCCTTCCCCGAGACCCTTGCACAGCTCAGCCAGGACGTGCGTCTCCCTGCTGCGTGGAGCGGCCGCTCACTGCTCCCGCGCTGCTCAGGAGCAGCCGCACAGAACCTCTTCCCCGTTTCTGCAGTTTTCTACACTGCCGTGGTTTTTGGTCAGGAGTGAGTTTCATCGACTCACAGAGAGAATATGGGTTACTGCAAAGTCCTGAAAAGAGGCAACCTCTGGGGAGACTATGTCCAGAAAGGGCTATGGATAGACGGGAAGACACCGGGCGGAACCATGAGCCTAACGGAGACTGGGTCACAACTCCTCAAGGACAAAGCTGAGCAATCTCCACCGTCATTTCTGCCCTCCCTCAGTGCTGCCCTCTCTCCTCCAGGCCGACTCTGAACCCAGACTCACTTTCTCTCCACCTCCCAACACCTACCCAGAACACAGCTCTCTGCCAAGGGCTATTTGACGGTCAAGGGGATTAACTCCCCATGCTCAGCCCCACAAGATTAAAAGTGGAAGAGGGGCTACATGTGCAGAGAGCTGGAGCTAAACCTACTTTTCACTCAAACGAGAGGAGACACTCTGAACACTCTTGAGCTCCTGACCATGTGTGCCAACCTCCTCGGGTACGGCCAGAGGCAGAGGAGGCTCGGCACGGGCTGCACCACCCACCTCCTCCTCGGAAGTGTGGGCACAGCTGGGTATATGGTGAAAACCACAAACCACCAACAGTCGTGGGCCTTTCTATTTAAGAACCATAGGTCATGTTTTACGAATTAAAGAAAATGATGGGAACAAGAAGTAGGGTGGTATTAATAAATCTATGTTAATTATCAAAATGATTGTGATAACTAATTGAAGTAGAAAACTATACTTGAGTTTTTGGTACTAGACTGGCAACTACTTATTTAAGTGATCCCAGTCAAAGCGATATTATTTAAGAGATAAATACTACTTAGTTAAGTGATTCCAGTCAAAGCGATTTTATTTAAGAGATAAGCGGCTAACCCTGGCCGGTTTGGCTCAGTGGTTGGAGCTTTGGCCTGTGGACCAGAGAGTCCCGGGTTCGGTTCCCGCAAGGGGCACATACCCCACCCCCAATAAAGAGATAAGCGGCTAGCTAATATATATATCTAATTGTATTTCTTTATAAACTTTATTTTTAAAAATTCTATTTCTTGCCCAGGCCGGTTTGGCTCAGCAACTGGAGCGCCGGCCTGTGGACCAATGAGTCACAGGTGCGATTCCGGCCAAGGGCACATCCCTCGGTTGCAATTTGTCCCCGGCCCTGGTTGGGCTCGTGCGGGAGGCAGCCACTTGATGTGTCCCTTTCTCTCTCTCCGATGTTTCTCTCTCTCTCTCCCTCCCACTCTCTATCTGAACAAAAATGGAAAAAAAAAGTCCTCGGATGAGGACTAAAAAACAATTGTGTTTCTTTACAAACATTCTCAGCAAAGGCCCAGTGAGTTAGTATGTCTATGAAGAACTATTATATTTAACACAAGTCATTGTTAAAAATTAGAACTATCAAACATTGGAAATCTATATCCCAAAATAACAATCCCACACATTTTGAATAAAAATGACAATACATTAAAACTTAACAATGTAGCACAGACGATTGTAACGAGCTGCTGTGGCCCAGGAGTACACCAGGCCGTGCACACAGGGAGCTGTGCCGACACCATGCTGCGACCCTGTGCGCCACAGTAGACGCCATCCGGCTCTGTGCGCACATCCACTTCGTGTTCACACAACACTACGAAGGAGGTGCTACACCACCCAGTTTTAAGATGAGGCGAAGAGTAGCTAAGAGATGGGGGAGCAGGGATCTGACTGGGCAGCCTGGCTCCAGGAGGAGGCGCCTCACTACCATCTACCATTCCAGAGTCTCCTGTACAAGGAATTTCAAACTTACAGGGATCGACCACTCAGCACCTCCTATCTTTCAGCATAATTTAACACTGTATAATCTGTCACTGTACTGTCATCACATTTGGAAAAATTATTGTGCTAAAAAGCAAGTACATCTATCACGTTTACTCTTTATCGCCAAAAAGAGGACAGACAGGACCGCAGACTACTGTACCCACTGCTTTCTGTGCTCCCGCTGCTTGCAGAAACCTTCTAATGTGACTCGTTGCTACAGAGACAACTGATTTTCAAAGTAAGGCGTGTTATTCAAATAAAAAATAAAAGGAGGACTCTTAAGAAAAAAGGGTCTTGTTTTCATGTACATGTACCTGCTAATGAAAAAGGAAAGTTGCAAAAATAAAACAACTGTTTGCATGGTGGCATCTTAAAAGACACATGCATGCATCATGGCCAGTCTGGGGAAGAGAGCACCGAACCTCAGATAGTTCCCCCGGGGCTCAACAACCTGAACTGCCCAGTGTTTGTTTCCTTCTCTGCCAGGACAGTGTCAGATGACACTCAGTTACGCACGTCCAACTCCGTAAGAAGCTCATCCACAGCCCTGCCCATCAACTCTCAACTGGCTTTTGAACAATACTTCCAGGGCGAAGTTCTTCCTCATAAATGCCTGTTAAGCAGTAGTTACTGGCAGTTCACTTTGCAACTGCTGAAAACCCCAGGTGAACACAAAACAATGGGATAGCTGTTGAACAGAGCGAAAAATACACTAACCTAATTTAGTTTGGCTGTGAGTTCTCAGAATACGGGTAATATTAAACAAGGTATTCGACAGGACTTACATTTGTTTTCAATTTTCAAGTTAAAACACTCTTCCAGAAACCGAATTTCCTACATTTGTAAACTTTACCTTCTACTCAAATACGTCCGTTAGATTTGCACAATTACCAGCTGACACGGCCCTTTGTTCCCAAGGGCTCAGAGGTTTATGGGAACACCATGACACCGTAGACAAAGATGGCCAAAGGCAGGCCTTTCCTCCCAGTAGCAGAAGATAATCTGCTCACCAGTCAAGACTGGTCTCAGATAGAAACACCAGGAAGGACGAGGCAACGACACAAACGAGCGAGTTTTCAAATCGGTGTGCAAACATGCCAAGGTACCATCCTGAGCTATTCATTATAAAATATTTGGGCTGGATCTTTGTTTCTTTCTCTCTTTCTCTATCTCTTCAGACATTTTAAGCTATTTGTGGTATAATTGACAGAATAAAGAAATATAAGCACTACTGAAATGAAAAATGTAAAATGTTAAATATGGTTCTCATCTATAAAATGTTTTAAAGGTAAACTGGACTAAAGTATTGATACTAAGATATTCTCCTTAATTAGAAAGCAGAACATTTTAAACCCGGTTCCGGACAAACAGCGGACTAGTGACCCTGGGCGGTTCACAGCCAGCGGGGCGTCTGCAGTGACAGACGCTGCCTGCAGGAGGAGCCAGCTCAGCGGACTGGTGGCTCTGGGGACGCAGTACCTGTTGCTGTGAAAAGTCTGGCCCAATGTGTGCCATCGAAAATCACTGCACCGAGTACTTTCCTGGCAGGTGAGATCAGGGTCAAATCCAGCATGGCTGTGGACAAAGCTCTGTCGGAAGCAAGGAGGGAGCCGCACGTTCTCTAGCGTGCGTCCATTCCCAAAGGGCTGTCTGCCTACGTGGGGCTTTTTCACTGTAACTGATACTTGTTTGTACTGATGTCAATTTGGCCAAGAGAATAGAAGGAAAATCAGGGTTTACTCACCACAAGGAGTCCCTGTGACACCACATTCCACTCTACAAAGGAAGTGAAAGTGCTCCTCCCTTCGGTCTGATTTACGAGAGAAAGAAAGAGAGAAGGTTGTAATGTTGCTATGCTACTGAGAGCGTCCCTTGAGGAAACAAGGGACACCACCTGACATTCCGAAGACTCCGTTCACACAAACACCCTGCTGTCTAAATCAGCCACGTGGATCAGCCCCGGTAAGGGGGAGTGACAGACACACTGCTTCCCCGAGAAAGCTACGGAGCTGTGCCGACCTGTGCTGTGGGCCGCACGGGGCCCTGGGCCACAATCACGGTGTGTCTAACGTGTGTGCGCAAGAAGTTAATTTTAGGTAGAACTGTCTTGAAGGAAGTAAGGCACATAGAGGAAACCCAGTGTTAAGAAACTCTCAAGCATTTTAAATTCATAATAATTCTGGGAGATAAGAGCTTTCCTATGAGGTAAACACTCAAGAAAAAATGACTCTACAGTCTCTTACAAAAAATAAAAAAGCCCATGGAGCCTCAAATAAGAGTTATGACTAAAAACCAGGGTGAGATAATCAGAAAATTTGCTTGCATGTATTTCATTTGCTCTAGAGTAAAAGAAAAATACTCCAGCATTTACTACTTAAACCTACTCTACACCTATTACTGTCTAAAATGTTTTAAAAGTTTTCAAAAATCACTATCAGATCTTGGCACCAGACAGTATCATTTTTCTCTACAACGGCCCTCAATTTCTAACCGACGTGACTGAGAATTCTAACACACAAAATGAAATCAAAGTTCAGGAGGAAAGAGAAGTCACAAATATGCCAGGCAAATTAAAAACACGTATACAACTGGTTATTCTTTATTCTATAAGTAAATTTGGAAAAATTAGGTTTGATACCTCTCTCAGCATAACAGATACTTTTATTCTTCCAAGAAATATGGATACCTCATTTGATGAATCAAAACTTAATTCTGATTTCCATGTTCCCATCATTTAACATATTATCCTAATTCAAGAAATATCTGGAATGTTTTTCTAAAAAGGCACTACCTTATCTGGGAAGAAATATATAATTGAATCTGCTTTGAAAAAATCTGAGTTTGTTTCTTTATTTTAGTCGACAACAATACAATGTTTGGGGGCAAAGATTTTCCAAGATTGTTCATTCACCGGGAATAGTTTTCAATGTAGTATTCCTAAGATTACTAGGGAAAGACATACACTTTTTACGAAAGCTGTGCACCCTTTGCAGACAACACACACCATAACCAAGTCAAGCTAATTACTCTGCCAAAATCGTAAAATGAACAATATTTTAACGGCCAGCAGCTGGCGAAATGCCCGCCGGTGGAGCAATCGTGATGAAGACTGGATTTCCATGAGGGCTGCCCTCGGCGTCCTGGCCCTCAGCCTCAGTGAAAGGCAGAGTCCTGTCTACTTCAGCTGCACATGAGTAAAAAGCCAAAAGAAAACCAAAAACCATAGCAAGTTTGCAGAAGATTTAGAAATAGGTTCAAAGAATAAATTCTGAAGCAGAAAATTCAGGAGGCCGTCCGCTTTCCAGCCTTCCACAAACGCTGCACCAGACAGCTCTGCGAGGACAGGAGGCGAGAACGCTCAGACAGAACAAGGCGGCGACCTTCTCCCACGACAGACGTGAGATGGACACACTGTGCCAGACTACAGAGTTCCTGTCCTCATGTCAGCCCCTGAGCTCCTTTCGTCCCTTTCCCCCCTTTTGGGAATAATTTCAAAGAAGAGAGACTAGAAAGAGAGTAACTTTTTTATTTTTAACAGAAAGAGGACAAATAGAAGAAAGTGAGACAGAGAAAACAGATATAAGAATATAATCAACTTCTTTGTTGGTCTCTTTAACTTCTTCTTATCCCTTTGAGAAAACAAAGTTAAACTGAAGGAACGAGAAATTTGCTGAAAAAGAGGGAGCCTGACACAGCAATGGCAAGACACTCACAGAGCTGGAGCAGAGAGTCAGAGGAAAAGCTCTAAGAAGGCAGACTTTGCCCATTTCTGAGCAATGAAACTTTGTAAAAGTAAAATGTATTTTTATATTCCTAAAATTTTTGAAAGTTCTTAGTTTTAACATTAACAATAGTTCTGTTAATATAATTTTTCACATTATATTTTAAATTTCGACTATTTCAAGCATGGTGCCTTTAAAAATAATGCTTAAAAATACACAGTTTTCTGAATTTCCCAAAGGAAATAGAAATTGTAACCCATATTGCTGTAAGCACAAACTACTCCATTTTGATAAAGCATATGAAGGCACTAAAAAAGGGCAGGCAGCATGTCCATATTCTGTGTAATCTGGTCTGCACTTGCACAGAGTATTTAAAATTGCTGAAGTTCTGTTGTATAATTGTAACTGCATTTCACATTTTATATATAGCATATATTTGTTAGTGACAGCATGAAATGTAATTTTTTAGTTGGTCTGAATTGCAGAAATAGCCAAGAGCTGTTTGCACAGGGAAATTTGCTGGAATCTTAAATGTAGGGTGTGACACACTGCCCTCTAGTGTCACTTTAGCTATAAAACCTTGAAAATAGAACACTTCAATTTTGTTATAAAATGTAACTGAAATTAATTTAGACTGAGAAGTATAAAGTAATATACAAAACCAATCATCTTTACTTACTAATATTTGTTCCATCTACGGTGAACCAGGCACTACACTAGGTATTCTTTCGAATGCCTCCCAATCTCTATGGTAAAAGATGCTGGACTCTCAATATTGGCTTTTTACTGATGGGAAACAGCTTAGAGAAATCAAGTAGTTGCCCACTACTCCCCAGCTAATCAATGTCCGGTCAGGCTGTCTGATGCTTCCCCTCCAGGAAACGGCCTTTACGAGCTACCCTCTCACAAATCGGAGGGAGTCTTACCTGCACTCATGCGCTAAGGCTCCCTAGGCCACTATGACAGTGACTCTCAAAAAAGATGGAGGAACCCCTGCAGTAGCGGCTCCCTGGGAGAGTCTGATGCCACCTGCTCCCTCCCCCCCCCACCTGGAACCCAGTCCTCACTTTACAGACATTGCCCAGGTGGCCAAGGGCCTTCAAGAAAATGAAGGTACAGGGCGAGGTCGCAGAGTGCAGTGAGGTCACTGACACTCAGGTCCAAGGTCTTTTCTACTCTTTCCACACACAGCCTCCTGCATTAGTAACTTCCGTTTACTAGGCAGAGCAGGGCTCTGGTTCAAAATCATTGAGGAAATAAATGTGAGTATACAAAGTACAAATATTACACAAACATATAATCTTCATTAAAAAGATAGTCTTACCTTATGCATTAGAGTCCAAAGTGTGAATCAAAGTGTATGAATTATCCCTATCCTACAAAACCTATCCATGTGATTATTTAGTTTAACAACTACAAATAGTAAAAAGAATGTGAACATTTGAAGAGTGACCTCACACGTACCTTAAGCCATAGCACGGCAGAGTGAAGAGCCTGAACAGCGCCAGGAGCACTCTCAGGGGGAGCAGGGTGAACACGTACAGAAACGCATCCAGGCACAGGAAGATTCCAAACACCATGAGCTGGATTTTAAAAGGAGAGAAGAAAACAAATAGTCTTTAAATAATTGTAGATAAAAATTTAAACATGGAATTTTAAAACTTTTTGTGAAATTCATTTCTCATAACTTGGTTATGAGAATAACTAGCTAATAGTGTATATGAGCCATATTTTCATGAAAAATTCTTTTTCAAAGTGCAAATTTGTACCTCTTCTTCCAGAGCCTTTGGCTTCCCACCTACAGGTCAATTACTCAAAAGACGAGTTGCCCTTGACCAGAGCTATGAAAGATCTGATGTGGCTGAGAACTTCCTCAAACTTTAAAGATATTGTAGATACAACTTCTGATAAAACTTTTTGACTCTAACTTTACTCTATTAATTTTGCTACTTGTTTATCTCAGTGCTTCATGGATAGGAAAGACAGGTATATATATTGAGTTAAAATATGTAAACTGATTAATTTTAACACAAAATTTCATGTGTATTTGAACTTGTTATAGTCAGAAGGCATTATTCTTAATTGGAGAAGTAGCTGCTAATGTTTGTATTCCCCCATCCCTTTCTAGTGTACTTACATCCGTCCTAATTTTTTGTAACATCATACATTTTTACCCATTAAATGTAGGGCTATATTTCACAGAAAGACGGTGGAGTCTTCTGATGTCTTGGGGAAGTAGCTACACCCAGGCTACCAAATTCTGCAACTGTAAGAGCGGTGACTTCCTGTATGTCTGACACACAAGCCAGGTACGATGTATAGAACTCACATACAACACTCCATGTATCCTTAGTATATAAACTGTCCTACACAAATGTATGAAATAGTTAACCTGCACACTGTTACCGACAGAACCACATGCCCTCCCCACAAATACGTATGTTGAAGTCCTAGCCCCAGCTCCTCAGAATGACTATATTTGGAGATGGGGGTCTTTAAAGAGGTAACAAAGTTAGAATGAATTCATTAGTGTAGGCCCTAACCCGGTATGACTGGTGTCCCTACGAGAAGAGGAAGTGTGAACAGAGGGAGGATGACAAAGACACAGGGAGAAGACCGCATCTGTAAGCCAAGGAGAACAGCCTCAGAAGAAATTGACCCTGCTGCACCGTGATCTTCAGAACTGAGTTTGAAGCCACCCAGTAAGTGGTCTCTGTTACAGCAGCCCTTGCAGATTCACAGAACACCTTTAGAAAGGGCAGTCTATCAATCAATTTTTTGCAAGAGGTCTCAGAAATATATTTCTCATATATATACCTAAGATGTAGATATGTACACATATATACATACTGTATACATACATATACATATAGGTGTGTGTGTGTATGTTTACAGCATTTTAAAAAATATAGACTCATGAACATAAGAAAGTACAATGCTTAAGTACTCGGACTACACTCTGTCTTCCTTCCATGACAGTTGGTCAGTCGGTCACCCAGTCTGTCACCAGAACAACCAGTGTGTGCACATTCCCTTGTTTCACGCACCTACCAAGGAGTGTTGTAGAAGACTGAGCACCATCTTGACAGCCAGCGGTCACTATCTATTACTGTCTGTCACTGGTCACTGAGAAGCCATCCTGTGTCAGTGTGTATGCATAAGGGAACAGCATGTTGGGAAGGAGAATGAGCAGCTTTCTGATGACCTGACACTGGGGATGAACATGTTACTCATTCATCCAACATCCACTAAGCTATTCATAGTACCCGAGTCACACGCTCACCTCAGCTGCACAAAGCCGGGCGGGACACCATACACATAAAGGTCAAGTGGTGGTACCAGCACTGTGACACAGGCAACAGCAGAGCCCTGGAGAGAACATGCACAGCCCAACTTGGGGAGATTTAGAAAAAGCTCTGCATTAGAGGAGACTCTTAATAACACCTGAGAAGATGAGGACAATGCCACACGGAGAGGGTGCACTGGGCACAAGGGAGGCCTGAGAGGGAGAGAAGGGGAAGGATTCTCTTCAGGGCAGGACGCATGAGCAAGAGCACAGAGGGAAGCGATATGAAGACAGCCCTTTTTTGCGGAATAAAATTACAGTCACCTTTCTTTGGCTTAGAGGAATTTGCATTAGTACTGTTTATGGTTAACAATAGTGACTAAAGTCCAGTGAGACTTCCCATTCACATATTAAACCAGCCCAATAAACTTAGTGGGCAAGCAATCATCTTCTCGCACTGCATGCTGACCACGCAATGACTACCCGGAGCTGTCCATACAGAAGATCTCAATATTAAAATGGAAGGAAAAAAAGAGATGGAGATCTAAAGCAACTGCTGCAGGGTGGAAAGAAACCATCCATGGATGTGAGAATACACAGCACACAACCAACAGAAATGCCTTTCAGGGTTTAGAAATTGGAAAAGTAACTCAACTACAGTACCTACTGTTTGAATGCTCCCCTTTCTCATAAGGTACAGATTCTTCTAAATTCTTTACAAATGAAAATAAGATAATTTCCTTAAAAAAAGTAAGCAAGATGTAATTCTGAAAATACCCATCCTTCTTTGAAGGAGGTCAAAAGCCTGTGCTGGGGGAGGTGCGAGCCTGGCACCCAGCTAGACACTCAGGCAGCGATCTAATCGGCACGGACCCAGGACTGTGAAGAGGCTGTGCAGTCTTCTGTTTGTGGCCCTCCAGGCATGTGGAAAGTGCTACTACTTAACCCTCAGAGCACTGACAGAGTTACCACCCCTGCTTAACACTGAGGAAACCGCAGCTCTGCAGGCTGAATGCCTGCCCAAGATCTCACCCAGTATTTCTGTAATTTTCTTTGTGCTGACTCATCTTTTCCCAGTTTGCCTAGTGGCAGAAGAAATGGGCATTTAATGAATCAAATTTGCCCTGGCCGGTTTGGCTCAGCGGTTAGAGCGTCGGCCTGCGGTCCTGAGAGACCCGGGTTCGGTTCCCGCTAAGGGCGCGTACCTCGGTTGCAGTTGGTCCCCGGCCCTGGTCGGTTGTGCGGGTGGCAGCCATTCGATGTGTTCCTTTCACGTCGATGTTTCTCTCTCTCTCTCTGTTCCTTTCTCTCCCTCCCACTCTACCTGAACAAAAAATGGAAAAATGTCCTCGGGTGAGGATAAAAAAAAAAAAAAAAAAAAAAATGAATCAAACTTACAAAAGGCATGAAAAATTCACGTATTTATACTTATTGCTAGCTTTGAAAATGTGTTAAGAATGAAACACTTTGAGTTCCATTACTCACAGGAATAGTGTGTACTTTCTTCACACCTTTGGTTACTTTGTATGGCACCTTGATAAACAAGCAATCACTATTCCCTGCTTATTTGGACCAAATCACCATGAAGTACTCAAGCAGTCTTAAGTAACGTCTCAAGAACACCGCCCCTGAAATAAGTGTGAGGCTGGAAAGTAACAAAGCCCTGCCTTGGCCACTCTTGGTTTCCCTTTTGAGAAACACAAAAATCTGTCCTCCTTTAAGTATCACTTGAAGTGCTGAAGTAAATACAATGTTGTGGCTACAATTAAATAACAGGATTTTTGTGGCATGTGCTTCTTTAAATTTAAATCACAGGCAAAAAGTGACCTATCAGTTGACAGTCAGGCCTGAAACTCTCTGGTCCCATCCCCCACTTCCTCCTCTTTCCCAGTCTCACCTTGTAAATGAGGTCTCTCACTTGACAGATATCTCACTTTCATGGGGGAAGCCATACAAGGAATATGTCATCTCCTTAAACTGGCCATAATATAAACAAACAGAAAACCAAAATATGGCAAAGAACCAAAGCATAATAAGAATACCTCAACAAGAAATCACATGCTGGAGTTTTTGGCTTCTTCCATTTTCCTGGGGACAGAAGACTCACGCTTTGATCTGTTCCTCCTTTTCTCGCTTAAGTGAACATTTAGGGTCCAGCTCTAAAGTGGCAGAGACTATGACAGCTGAATAAAATACATGTTTGTTTCAGGAAGATCGCACTAAGTCTTGCAATGAAGCTTCACACCCAAAGAAGAGGTTTCACATTCTGACCACAACCCAGTTAGACATGCACTCTGTCCTGCAATTCACTACACACACCTACACACACTCAAAACTCCAAAGAAACCTTCACTACAATAATACTAACTTTTACTCCATGAGATCCAGGCTGCTTTTTCCTATTTCCTTCTTAGAAAACAATGCTGGTCTCAGGAAATTCATGAGCCACCAAAGGGTGAGAACTCAGTGTCTGAAAGCGGTCCCAGGACAGGCAGCCTCCCTGCCAGGGAGAGCTCACAGGGGCCAGGAACTCTGCAGAACGCGCCTGCTCCGGAACCGCTGCGAAGGTCTTTGTACAAGAGTGGGTGAAAGCACGGAGTCACACTGCAGCTACTCAGTTTAAAATCATTCTCAGAGTAGAGATTCATAAATATTTACATGAAAAAAGAATTATTTCAAAATAACCCTCTGCTTGATTAATAAGGCAGTTCTTGAGAGTCATCTTTGGAATAAAAAAAAAAAAGTGTAAGTGAAAACAAAGGGGGAACTGTTCACTGGCCTTTGTGTCCCGGAGGTCTTGCCCGGAAGGACCCCAGAAGCCTTCTACAGTACGGGGCACTGCAGCCAGGCACTGGCCAGGTGCTGTGTGGGCCTGTGGGCATGGCCTCAGTCCATCATCACTTCCACTCTGCAGACTCAGGAGCTCACCCAAGTTCACGAGCAGAAGAGGCAGGGCGAGACTTCAGGGGGTCTGCAGAAGGCACGGCTTTGTAAAATGAAGCCCTTTTCTACTAATGACACCTATCGCTCACCCTTCCAGCCTCAATCTTCCACTGGATTTAGCACCATATATATTTTAAAAACTGCAACAAGGTTAGCAAAGTTTTTAATATTTGAATTTGAATGTTAAGAAAAGTACAAAATGGCAATGATTTTGTAACCCTATAGTCAACAAAAGGTCACATGCTAGTGAAAAATATCACAACCAGCTCTAACCACATTCACTTTGGATCTACTACTATGGCCCTTAATCATTTGAAAAATAACTGGCCTCCAAAGAAATCAGTAAAAAGGCCAGCCTCTCTCTATGGAGAACAGGACAAGACTTAACTTTTTGACAAAAATCTCCTGCCTTTTTAATGCCCTTTGAAGTTTCAAAAGAAATAAAATGTTATAACTAAAATTAAAACAGCACAATGGTTCTGAAATAGGCCTCTTGGAATTTGACAAACCACCTTCTGGCAATTCTAAATACCATCTTGCCTCCACGACCACCAAATGCCACCGGCTAGTCAAGGACCTGGTAGTCAAGGACAGTTGGTCTAGAGTGTCAGCTGGAAGGAGCAGGCAGTAAAGCAGGAAGGGGCATTCCCCCCCCCCCCCCCCCCCCCCCCCCGCGTCTCACTCTTTGTAAAACTCTGGGTCTACTCCTGTAGGAGCGGAGCAGAGACCATATCTTGCTTAGTTCTACAATGGGAGGGTAAAAGGTCATCAGGAAGGACATCTTCCCCAGGGAATTCACAGTCTAGTGAACTGGACACAGACCATGTGGTGAGTGTCTTATGAATGATGTGCCCTAGAAGCACTGGCCAAGAGAGTAGGTCTGAGTGGGTGTGGGTGGGAGTGGAGGGTGGCATGGGGAACGTGCACACGGGAAGGGGGAAGGGACTCAGCCAAGATCTCCCACAGAGGAGACAAGACGGGCACTATGTTTTGCCAGGCCAGAAGAAACAAAGAGACGAGTGTGCACAGGTGCAAGGTAAGTGGGTGGCTGTGTGGCCAGAAGGTAATCAACAAATCTTTACCCTATGTTCCAGAAGTTCTCAACAAACGCACAGGCAGCGATCCATGATTAGAGGAATGGTATCCATGATTAGAGAATGGATTATCAATAGGAAAGTTTAAAAGTCACTGACTTTGAAAGCAACTACTGCAGAATCAAGATCATCCCTGAAATAATTTTATTCATATGAATTAAAAAATTCTCCCTGGCCGGTTTGGCTCAGCGGTTAGAGCGTCCGCCTGCGGTCCGGAGAGACCCGGGTTCGGTTCCCGCTAAGGGCACGTACCTCGGTTGCAGTTTGTCCCCGGCCCTGGTTGGTCGTACGGGTGGCAGCCACTCGATGTGTCCCTTTCACATCAATGTTTCCCTCTCTCTCTCTCTTCCTCTCTCTCCCTCCCACTCTATCTGTGCAAAAAATGGAAAAATGTCCTCGGGTGAGGATTAAAAAAAATAAAATAAAAATTCATGTCCCCAGAAGTCTACACTCTAGGAGATGATGAACAAAGGGATTACTATGAGCCAGGTTCTTTTATGATAGGCAAGGTTACAAAACCATATGTAACCATGGAAAACAAAGTAATTTTGATAAAAGGCTTGACAATAATTACAACTTACATCTGACATATATTTAACACAAGGAATCAATTGAAGATTTTATGGGGCCAGAAAAATACTTTTCCTCTCAGCTTCTAAGTTCTTCTAGGTGGGCTAATAACCAAACTGACGGAGGCAGAATCACAGGAGAAAATGTATGTTCATCAGGATGTCCATGCTGTGGAGCTTCATCAGAGGCTGAGACCTGAAAGGCACTGGGTAGTTCAGGGTTACGTGTCATTATGGGCAAAGGAGAAAGGGGGGCAGGGGTCTGAGATTTCCAAGGAAATAGGCATTTTACATGTAGCTGAGGAAGAGTGTAACCCAAGTATCAGGCAAAATCTTGTTAGGCAACCCATAAATAATGGACGGGGTTGGGGGAATGTCTATCTACTAGGCCCCTGCCTAAAGCCTTCCTACCTAACGCTAAAGTGAGGATGTTAAGATTTGCTTCCCAGAGCAGGCCTTTCCATCTGAATCTCCCAGGTGTGTGTGTGGGGGGGGAGGGGGGTCAAAGGTTCTGAGTCTTTTGTTTCTTAATAACCGGCTTAAAATCAATAACCCAAAAGGCATAGTTATAGGGTAGCAAAATTCTAGTCCCTTTCACTATGCACATGGAAAGTCTTGAGATTTTCTTGCTTCTCTTAATTCCAATCCATGTTTGAATATCTTTATTTTGTAAGCATCTGATCCACATTAATTTACCGAATGCTCCCAGCAACCCTGGGGGCAGGGCGTTACTTGGTATGACGCAAGGGACAGGAGGGCTGCAAGGCTCCTGCTGAGAGGCTGCAATGGTGCAGGAGGCTGGCTGTGCTCTCGGGACCCATGCACATCTGAGTCACACTAAGGATGAGAGGTCTTAGCAACTAGCGCAGGCTACCAACATGGCACAAATCTGCTTTTTAGAGTGTGGTCGGCAAGCAGCATTATGGCAGATTGACAGTAAGCAGGGACAACAGTTAAAATGGACAATATAGTCTGAGTGAGTGCTCACAATGGCCTGATACAGCAAATGGAGAGAAGAAAAGACATTTAAGATTGTCATAGCTAAAGGAACAGAAATAAGTTACTGATTCAAAAAGATAAACATAGTCCCGCAGTGCCAAGTTCACAAAGTATCTTAAAATATCAATGAGAAGCTCTTCCTCCAGGGAACACACCTGTCATTCCCTACCCCTTCTCCGTCCCCCGCAACTCCAAGGGACCTCATGAGACCTGCAACCAGGGGAGCAATAGGCAGAAGCTTGTCCTGGACTAACCCCCTGAACCTGTCTCCAAGACCCCTCTTCTCTGACTTCCTGTGAGCCAAGGCAGCCCAACCTAGGCTCTCCTGCTGCTGCTTCTGTGCCCTTCCTTGTTCTACTGTCCTAAGTGTGTTTTTACTGCGGTCAATAAACTCTTGCTTGCTTTTCTACACTTTTGTCTTTTGACTGAAATCTTTCCTTTAAAAAGACAAGAACCAAGGTCTCCTTGTCTCACTGACATGGGGAAGTCTGTTTGTCATTTGCCTTTGCATTCAAATAAAGAAGATGCTTATGGTGGAGTTGTAGCAACTGAAAACATGAGGAATGGATTGGTGAATAGTGAAGTCCATAATGAAGATAGAAGAAGTGGAGATGTCTCTCAGTTTCCAAATGTGGAATTTACAGGAAGAGATAATGTCACTTGTCCCACTTGTCAAGAAACAGGAAGAATTCCTAGGGGGCAAGAAAACCAGTTGGTGGCATTGATTCCATACAGTGATCAGAGATGAAGGCCAAGAACAAAACTGTATGTGCTGGATTCTGTGTCTGTCTGTTGATTCCTGGATTGGCTGTGTTTTTCCTTTTCCCTCGCTCTATCAGTGTGAGATGTATTGGCATAAAATCAGCATACGTCAGTTATGATGTTCAAAAGCGTACAATATATTTAAATATCACAAACACACTAAATATAATGAACAGTAACTATTATTTTATTTAAGTTGAAAACATCACTGCACAAGCTCAGTTTTCAAAAACAGTTATTGGAAAGTTGCGCTTAAACAACGTAACAAATATTGGTCCACTGGATATGAAACAGATGGACCGCTCAGTACCTATTATCATAGCAGAGGACCTGTGTTACATGTATGATTTCTGCACACTCATATCCATCAAAGTGCATAACATAGTACTCATGATGCAAGTCACTGTGACAACATACTTTGGACACCCTGAACAAATGTCCCAGGGGACCAGTATGTTGATTGTGGAAGGAACACAACTTATCATCTGGGGCAGTCTAATAATCTGAATGTACTTCAGCCACAACAGTGAAAATCTGAAAGAGATGCAGCTGGAGAAGAAGAAATACCTAGTGATACTTTTTAAACTCTGAAGGATAAGGTACTTACTTTCTGATAGGAGATCTTATACTGAACAAACCTGAAGTTTACGCTCCTATTTTAAGAATATGGCTAAAAGTATATAGATTTGCAAGTTTCTGCAGCTCTCTACTCAGAGTTCATGATATCTGCACCAGGATCTTTACTTGAATCTAAATTTACTGATTGGTTTTCTTCTCCCCCCACCCCCATCCCCACTCTCGAAAGGGGGAAACTGAGACTTTCCCTGCAAGACAATCAATACTTCCAATTCACAACTCCAATCATGACTGAAAACATGTTTGCTGATGAACATACTTCAAGAAACATCATTTCTGAAAGTTTTTATAAAGACTTATCACTGATAACCTAGACTGTTAAGGAATAACCTTTTTTTCCTGTTTTATAAATTCCCATTGCTATAAAGAAGTATTTCAACTATTTTATCCTTTAGATAAACATGGTTAGTTTTTATTTACTGAAATTCTACACATTTGAATTTTTTGTCCATCTTCTTTCAAGCCCGTGCTTGAATAACACTTATAAACCAAAATAATCTGCAAAATTCTATACCTAAAATTTTTAAAGTCTCTAAATGTGTTTCACGTCTTTCCATTTTATAGTTTTGTGAAATTTTTGTATAATCTTCAAAATAAACTATGCATGGCTTTTATACAGCTTTAATAAATGTCAAATAAAGTGATACAGATTCAAAATAAAGTTGCTCATAAAACAAAATAGGAAATGAAATTCAGTAACCTACAGAATGTGAAT